GTAGATTATAACAATTTAAACAAGAAAATAGAATTCAACCTTCTTTTTAGCTGCTTGAAACAAGGATCTTACTCGCCGAGCACCCACACCTACAAACCTACAATGAAAATAGTAGCAAATTTCTTTTTAAAGAAAAAAAAATTGAATGGAAAGGGAAAAGGAGAAGATAAATCCCTATGTACACTTATGCCTTTAAAAAAAAATGAAAGAAAACGGCTTACATTTCCTCAAACTCGGATCCAGCCCTGTAAAAGAAAGGCACACCAGCTTCTCCAGCAATAGCCTTCACAGTTTTAAGCAATAATATGGTCAGTTATTAATGTCCGTTAATTGTAGCAGCCTCAATGGAGCCATTCACATTGAGTAAATACTAATCGTAAATAAGAAAACAATGAACTTCAATAATAGCCATATTTAGTTGCAGTAAAACAAAATATACCTTTGCAAGCAAAGTTTTTCCAGTACCAGGTGATCCAGTCAAAAGGATCCCCTGAAATTTGAATCCATATTAAAATAGGACAAAGAGAGAAATCCATCAATCCACGAGAGGGTAATAAAATGACCCTATAATATATATATATATATAAACAAACCTTCGGTAACTTCCCTCCAAGTCGAGTGAATTTCGAAGGATTCTTGAGATACTCAACCACCTCCTCGAGCTCTTGTTTGGCATCATCACATCCTTTGACGTCTTTAAATGTCTTAACATTCTGCAGAGTCGAAATTTATGCAGCTAAATAAGACAATAAATAGAAAAAAGAAAATGGAAAGAAAGAAAGAAAGACCTTATTTTGCAAGAACCTAAAAATTCATCTGGGGCCATTTTTTTCCACTGACGTTAATTATAATAAAGACTCAAATCACAGAAATCCAAAATAAACATATTTCAATTATGTAACGTGCTAAATGAAGAGATCAAGACACTCATAAAAAAAATTACCTTTTCTGGCACTATTTCTTTGCTCAGCTCTTTTGGTGAATAAGAACTTGAACCAACTCCAGGAGTACCTATACCTCCTAAGCTACCAATATACCTTTGGAGTGCAGCTGTACCCAATACCCTGAGAAAGCAAAAAAAAATTACCACATAATAAAACATTGGGGTTGTAAGAATTCAAAAAGAAATGGATAATGACATCAAAACCAATCACTTCTTGCGATTGCAAACCCCCACAATTAGAAGGAAACAAAATTATGAATTCATCATCTAGAATCGAGCCATTACAAGCAGAGGTCATACCATACTAAACCGACAGCAACAGTGAACAAGATAGTTGATATGACCTCTTGGGCTAAGCGTGATGATTTACTTGCCACTTTGGGGTCCACCTAGGCAAGAAAAAATGTTGAAGACTTGAGGAATACGTGTAAATAATATCTAAAGCAGGAGAAGAAATAATATTCAATCTCTCTCTCTCTCTCTCTCTCTCTCTCTCTTTCTCTTACCACTACAACATGTAATGGCTGTTTTTCGGACACACCAGGGTTCACAAAAGGCTCTTCCATATTCCCTGATGCACGTTGTTGCAACTCTTGCAGCTAAAACACAATAGTCAAAGTTAGAATACGATCAAAGAGAAAAAATAAATTTAGGATAAGATAAAGGTTTAAAGACTATTTCAGGTCAATATAAGCCAAAATGTTCCATAAACTAGTTGGTCCAATAGGTAAAGCGATTTAACTGATTCATATTCACCAGATTGACCCAAAATTAGCATCAATTTGTATGACATAAAAAGGGGAAGCAATAAAGATAAATGTACATGCAATTGTTTTGATGCTTCAACAATATCCAACTAAAGCTTCATTGCTATGACATATGGACAAATGAGGCATTGCTTCATTGCTATATAAAAAAATAAAATAAAAAATGAGTTAGGTAATACCAAAGAAGGAAGACTAGAAGGCTTCCCAGATTGATCATCAGGCAAATATTCAGCTATCCCATTAGTAGCCACCAGCGCTCGAATGTATTCTGCTACTCCTCTACTGTCGACAGCATGATTCCTTTGTTCGAATCGCTGAATAACAGACTCAGGACTAAGAATACAAGAAAATAAACTCATTAGAACATTCTTTAACTTCATAAATTGCACTTACCATTCTTTGGTTTCATAAATGTACTTTCTCATCCAGTTTCTAGAGACGATAAATTTTGAAAATTCAATGGAGATTTAAAGTCCATTGGATTGTAAAACTTTTTAAACACCCCAGAAAACCCATTTTAAGCACCACTAATATGTTGCAGATTTGGCCACCAAACATTCCAAAAAACTTAGTATCACATATATAAATGTGACAAGACAATAAGCTACACAAACTTATTCTCCAAGCAAATCCAGATAACGAGGATAAATCTTTCTTTTTCTTTTTCTTTTTTTTTTTTTNAATCTTTCTTGCTAATATGATAAAAAAAAATTACCAATCGCTGGAAAGCATTCTGCCACACAAAATTGTTCTATCCAAAATAACAAAAGCACGAATCTTTGAAGTATGAGCCAACAAAAAGGCCAATAATGCTACCAACTAACCTATGCTTATTAAGCTCAGCCAACAGACGGCTTTGCTTCGCAGCATCCATGGGATTCGCATCAGCCTCCTCAACCAACCGTTCCAAGTGCTTCTCGTGCCTCCAAAACGGCCACCAGCTGAACCAATCCGAATAAAATACACGCTCAAACCAATTTTTCAATCTCGTGAACAATCCCACCATAAACACCATAATCGGCAACCTCTTCTCTACATCCTCGTTCATCTTTTCACCACTGACCTCTCGTTCGGCTGATGACGTGGCCACATTATCGAGCTCATCCGGCTCAGGTTTTCCGTTAAAATCATTACTATCAGCTGGGAAAGTAGCTGAATCTACATTCTCTGGACTCAACGTACAATAAGCGACTAAACTGTTCTGTAAAGGTCTGGAATTTAGACAAACCCGGCCGCAGAACCTCGGATTTATTCTTCTGGGGAGATGGTTCTGAGAGGGGAATCTGGAAATTGAGGCTTTTAGAGTGAAGGGAAGAGAGTTTGGATGCCGCATTGAGGGTCTGTGAACGAGGGAAGCTTGAAGCGCCATAGCCATAATTAGTAACTGGGAGTTTCAAGAATCGATTTTTCGGGTTTACAGTTTGGAGAAAAATGCAGAGGATGTAAGTAATCTATCTTTTCTCTTCCTTCTCTGTTGTCAGCCACAGAAAATAGGTTTTGTACAGCCAAAAGGGGGAGAGAAGAAGGAAGGGAGGAGATAGAAACCTTATCTGCTTGATTTAAATTGGCGCTATAGATTTGTGGCCTTTACAATTTGGGGAAAAAATTAGGGATTTATTAACTTACACCTAAGCCGAGGACTAGGATTGAATATCTATGATAAATTTATTTAATTAATAAATATTAATTTTATTATTTTTAGGTAAGATTGATTGGGGAAATTTCATTACATGGTAGATATCTTATTTTTTATAATATAAATGTAAGATGAATATCAATAGAAGAACTTAAAAAAAATATTTAAAGTTAATATATATTTATAATTTAAATTGATATACTATAAAGTTTATGAGAAATATATAAAAGAATAATGATGAAAAAATGGATTAATTTTAATCTTTCTCAAATTCGAAACCTTGTTTTCCTTGTGTCCCAAATAAAGGCATAATGTTGGTGTTCGGCAGTTGTTAAAGGAAACAAATTCCTTGTGAGACTTGATTCGGCTCAATAAGACCCGAGTTCAATTTGACTCGTCAGTTGAACTTGAGAATGTTTGATAGTAGTGACTTTTATGTAATTTTTTGAATTTTTTATTTTGGGTTAAGTTCACTAAGACTCAAGTTTATATCTACAAATTAATCAAGCTCAAACTCGTTGATCGATTGTTTAGTTAAGTAGCCGAGTCCGACTTGGCTCACTAAGAACTCGTTCCAACTCTGTTCTTATAAGTTTAGTGCTTGCCCAGTTTACACTTTAGTGTTTGCTCATTTTTGGTGGTTTCTTTTTTCTTTAATTATTTTTAATTGTTTAAGTTGAAGAGGATGAATACAATTACCAAAAACTGACATATATCCCGTACTCTTGTTGCAATACATTAAAATTTGGATACATATTCTCGCTGCAGTATTAAAAAAACCACAAAACTCAACCTCCGTTTGCATGCACATCTACTGTTTGCGAAAATGCCACACTGAAAATCCTCTCATCGTAGGTTATTTTTTTTAAATTATTTTTAATTTTTAAAGTTGAAAAGGATAAATGCAATCTATATATATATAATAAGAATTAACATTTTTTTAAAAATAGTAGGTCAAAATCTGGTCAACATTAATTACATTCCATTTTAAGTAACTTTTTTTATTTTTATTTTTTTAAATCCGACAACAATAAATGCTGCCCTTAAAATGTGGCCTTTGTTATCTTTACGGAAAATCGGACAACCTTATATGTTGGACGTAAAATTGGAATTTGTTACATTATCTAATAAAGTTACTGCTGACTTTAAAATTATTTTTGGAAACATCTTTTTTCACCAAAAATTACGATTGATTCAATTATATTGTTTGACAACTTTTAAATTTTAATAAAAAAGAAATTATGGATGATTTAATAACCAGAAAGTATATTGTTTGGCAACTTTTAGCTTTTAATTTCTAATAGCTAATGCCATTTAACATTGGTATTAATTAATAAATCACATTCATGTATCTAAAAATATGATTCGTAATATTAGTGTTAATTAATTAATCACATTCACGTACTTCTAAAAATATGATCCGTAAATATGCAATGTTGAGTATAATATGTTAAAAATTAATTAATTAATTACTTAATCACTAGACATGTTGAAAATTTATTTTCCTTTTTGGTTTTAATGGAAATTTTATCAACTTTCCCATAAAATTTGATCGATCTTGAGTATGATATCAATATGCAATGTAACATTTTGTTTCCTTTCAAATAGTTCTACAATATAAATTATCGCATTGTACATTCATTAATTAATCAATTTATTTTATAAAGTTAGCAAGATTAATAAATCCAATATAAAGTGGACGATTTTATTTGAGGTATTGATGATCATTTTTTATTTGGTAGAGATATGTTGTAATTAATAAACGTTCGAATTTATGGTATAAAGTGGACAATTTTATTTTGATATGAAATGTCCGAATATAAATGGTACGAATAGAAGTGTATTTTGAAATTTTGAAAGTGGTATGAATTTTATTTTGTATGGGTATGAAAGTCAAATTGTAGATTGATTTGTTATAAAATCTATGTGATGTGATGCTCAAATTTTACCATATTCTCATTAGAACTTGCCATAAAATACTAATGATAATTTGGCAAATTGGTATGTATTCCTCTTGAAAATCAGATAGATCTTTGAACAAATATTGATTAATAAAATTTAAAAGTTGTAATTTGATCTAGAGAATTGATTGATAAATTTGAACAATACGGTAACTGAAAATAAATACAGAAAATTGCGGGATAATATATATATATATATATATATATATCTATATATATAATAAGAATTAGCATTTTTAAAAAATAGTAAGTCAAATTTTAGTCAAACTCCCATTAGCATTTATTACATGCCACTTATGGCAATTCTTTTTTTAACTTAAATACGGGCCGCATTAAATGCTGACCTTAAAATGTGAAAATTGTTTCGGCATCATTCCATATATCTCGGTAAGTTTAAAAAGTCAATATCATCCTATCGCATGCTATCATAAACCTACAGAATCCCATATAAATCTGAAAATTGTTTCGGCAAGCTTAAAAAAATATCATTCCGGTAAGTTTAAAAAGTCAATATCATCCCATTGCATGCCATTATAAACCTACATAATCCATAGTATAAATGTGAGGAAACTTGAAACATATGATCACTTATCTATTGTAACTGATTTTTTTAAAATAATAACTAATAATTTAAAAAACAAACAAACTAATTCACTCTAATGTCTAATTACTAATATAAATCCCTTATGTATGTCTAATTACTAATATAAATTCCTGATTTGTGGTAAGATATTTTTTTTTAAATTTTTCAATATCTAATTACTAATGTTTTTTCAAATATTGTTACCACTTTAAATTTTAGGTTCTCCTGTACAAGCTAATTTTTTATGGTGTATAATAAACTGATATAGGATAAATTATATCACATGCTAACCTCACATGTTTAATTTATAATTATTATTCAATATTGTTTACCTTCATATTTAATTTATAATATTTTTTTTCTTCCTCTTCTAAAAGAGGATCAATAGTGATTCCTTATTTATAATCAATATTTAATATTGTCACCCGTGCATAGCACGGGCTACATACTAGTTACCAAAATCCGACATATAACTCTTGTTGCCAATACATTAAGTTTTGGATACATATTCTCACTGCAACATTTAGNAAAGACTTAAACTTCAACCTCCTTTTGCATGCACATCTGCTGTTTGCGAAAATGCCACACTGAAAATCCTCTCATTATTTTCCACTCCTCGCATGATCAGTAGATTCAGTACTAACCACCAGCTGCAGCTTTCTTATATCGTCATCTCTTTCTTCATTTGATGTTGGCCACTGCATTTGTTTCTCTTCATTTGCTTTCTTGAAATCTCTTTCAAGAATCCCATTTTTGAGGTTTTTGGTAGCTTTACTTTTCCTGTACTTGCAGTATACCAGAAGCTGGACGAAGCCCAGTGGACTACCGACAAATTTCGGTGCCTAAAAGAATAAATTTCCAGAAAATATCACGATTTATTTACTTATTTAGCCTCAAATGTGATATATTTTGTCTAGTGATGCTAGATTCATTTTTCATGTGCATATAGTTTTTTCGTGTGAGTTCATGTACACCGATAGAAAGATTTTTTGTGATCATACCAACCGCTAGAAAAAGCTCGTGGCTAAGAAGCCCGTAGAATAACCAGAGTGTGCTGGCAAGAAACGAGAAAAACGAGAGGTAAAACGGCATGAACTCCACGCTTTTCGTCTGTACCACTTGTTTCTAGCAGAATTACACAGACAAACTTGATTATGAACCAAGTTTGGAAAAAAAAAAAAAAATCATCAAGAATTTATAATAAGCTGCAGTTTTAAATTTCACCATATTGTTTGAGAAGATTAGAAATAATAACTCACCACAGCCACTAATGGAGAACCGTACATTCCTATGGAAGCCACCAATCCCACGCTGCCAACGAGCGTCTTTCGGTGGCCACCTTTTTCTGTAATTTCAGATATTGTTATTGTTGTTTGTTTGCATTTGTTCTAATTTTGCATATGATGGATAAAAATTGTGTGTTCATCTATAACTATATTGGAAAGTGATCGAATGATAACTGTTTTATATTAATATGTACATTTGCAATAATTTGATTTATATCAAATGACTTGCCTTCCACTTGGCCGAAGCAAAGTAGAAATATATGATGACGAATGAGAACTCGAGAAGGATGTCCTCTCCATTAACGGTAGCTACAGTGAAATTTTGCCACTCACAGCTCACAACCGGCAAAGCGTACCAAGTGTAGAGAAAACAGTTGGAAAAGGCTATGATATAAGGCACACACGAAAAGTCCTCTGTGCTTTTCTTTCTTATAACCCTCACGAAAGTCAATCTGGAAAAAAGTTAGAACGTAAATCATTTAAATTTGAACAAAACTAAAGTAACAGTTTGTAGTTAGTTACGTGGGTGCCGCGTAAAGTTGCAAAGNTTCAGATTTTCTTTTTTTTTTTTTATTATTATATATATATATATATATTTCTTTTGTGTTTTTAATGGAAGTAACAGGATTGTTTGGGGATGTAAAAACTCACCAAGTATGCCAAGTGCTAAGCGAAGTTTCTCTTCCACGTCTTTTGATGCCATCACAAGATTATTGTTGATTTTAAAATGCTTATTTTTGATCCATTGAAGGAGTGTGTTGGAATGTGCATGAGTCTTTGTTGCATTTCCTTTTTCTGTTCTTATGTTTTTTGGTTTAATATTGTAGGGCTGCTGCGTCTTTTATTTTCTTTTGCTTTAGTTTACACGACGTCGTTCAGACTTATCCTACACGACGTCGTTTTTCCTTTCTTGCATGTGTACGTGTATATATGGGGCTTGTAAGACTTTTCTGTTTTTTGACATATATGAAAATGGCGAGATTTTTCCTCCCAAATTCTGAGCGATTCAACATGGTATCAGAGCAGTGATTCTGGAAAATCGAGATCGCAGCTAAAATCGAAAAGTCTATCAACATCCATTCACAGATCCAGCTCAAAATGAAGCATCAAAGTAGCAATGCATGGCCGATTCTCACTACAAATGCAGAGTCGTCGAGCACGAAGATGACTGAACCAGATCCATATCTGCTCCATGGATCGGATCACACGAGCATGATGCTCGTCTCTCATCAACTGGATGGAAATAACTTCTTATCGTGGAAACGATCGATGATTATAGCTTTGGGGCCAAAAAACGAAGCTCGGCTTTGTCAATGGAGAAATTGAACAACCAAATCCGAAGGATGAAAAGTATGCAGCGTGGAGAAAGGTCGACTGGACAGTACTTTCATGGATATTGAATTCCTTATCAAAGGACATTGCGGAATCGTTCCTGTATGCAGAGAACTCAAAGGAGCTGTGGGAGGACATTTGTCAAAGGTATGGTGAAAATAATGGTCCGATGAGATATAAGGTGCAGAGAGAAATATCGAATTTAACTCAAGGGAATAACACGGTGATGGAATATTTTAATAAACTAAAGAAGCTTTGGGATGAATTCGCATGTATAGTGCCTTTGAAAATCTGTGATTGCGAAAAAGGAAAGATGATGTTGCAGTATGATGCTGAAAATAGACTGATGCAATTCTTAATGGGACTTAATGATGGATATGATCATGTGAAGAACCAGATTTTGTTGATGGAGCCACTTCCTAATGTAAGTAAAGCCTATTCCATGGCCTTGACTGCAGAAAGGCAAAGAAATGTTCAAAATTTATATGGTGAAAGGGTTGAAAGTGTGGCAATGATGGTGAAATCAGGAGGATATGGCAGAGGTACAGGATTGCAGGGAAGAGGAAATTATGGAGCAAGAGGGGGAAATGGAGGACAGTGGAATTCAGGAAGAGGTAGAGGAGGTGTAAGGCTTACTAAGGAAGAAAAAGCTAAACTGGTATGTGAGAAGTGTGGGATGCATGGGCACACTATTACAACATGCTTTAAAATACATGGAGTTCCAGAATGGTTTAAGGAACTAAAAGAGCAGCAAGGGAAATCTTATGCCAACAATGCTATGGCCTATGAAGATGCAGAAGTCCAGCCACAGAAACTGAGTTACAAGGATGAAACCAAGGGAAGAGACTTGGAATCAGTTATCAAACAACTTAATGAACTGACACAATATATTAAAGGGAAGGAGGAGAATAACAGGAAATTAGATTATGCACAGTTTGTGAGCTTCTCAGGGGTTTATGAAACTGAAAGCATGCATTATGCACTGTCCATGGTTGCAGGAGAGGATGAGAGAAGGTGGATTATTGATACAGGTGCCAGCAGGCATATATGCACCAATGATAAAATCATGAGAAACATGAAAAGAATTGAAGGGCCATTATCCATCTGTTTGCCAGATGGTTCATTGAATACTGTGGAAATAAAGGGAGAAGTTGTGATTAATGATGAGATAATCTTAAGGGATGTGCTGTACATGCCTGGTTTCAAATATAATCTCATGTCAGTGATGCAGCTGTGTAAAGATAGAGATCTGAAGTGGATTTTTGATGAGAACAAATGCTTGTTACTAGATCAAAGAAATGAAAGAGTGATAGGGAATGGGAAACTAGCAGGAAATTTATATGTATTGGAGAATGATGCAGCAAAGGAAATTCATTGTAATGTGTCAGTAGAAACCTTGCATAAGTGTTTGGGTCATGCATCCATTGGAGCACTAAAACATCTGGAAGTAGTGAAAGAAAGGGGATGTAGAGAAGTGGAGAGAAAACTACAAAGCTGTGAAATATGTATGAAAGCCAAACAGCATAGAAAGCCTTTTCAGGACAGTAGCATAAAGACAACAGAATGCTTTGAATTGGTGCATATGGACATATGGGGACCATGTAGAGAGGAGGCCATCACAAACACATCCTACTTCCTCAGTCTGGTGGATGATTACAGCAGAGGAACTTGGGTGTTCCTCATGAGCACCAAATCACAGGCAGAGAGAATATTGAAGGGATTTATTACCATGGTTAAAAGACAATATGGAAGTAAAGTGAGAAGGGTACGGTCAGATAATGGAAAGGTATTTATGGCCAAAGATTTGCAAGAGTTCTTTGAAAAAAAGGGAATATCACATGAAACAACTTGTGTCTATACCCCACAGCAAAATGGGGTCATAGAGAGGAAGCACAGACATCTCTTGGAAGTGGGAAGAGCTTTAATGTTTCAAGGTAATCTACCAATGAAATTTTGGCCTTTTTCAGTTCTCACTGCAGCTTATGTTATTAACAGAACTCCTAGCTCAGTCATACAGTGGGAGACACCTTTTGAAAGACTCACAGGGAAAGTGCCTGATTATTCAATGTTAAAACCTTTTGGGTGCTTAGCATTTGCCACAGACAATGTTCCACATAAATCGAAATTTGAACCTAGAGGTGTAAAGTGTGTGTTTCTTGGGTATGTGACTGGGAAGAAAGGATATCAACTTTATGATATAGAGAACAATGCACTGATGATTAATAGGGATGTGACATTTATTGAAGAGCAATTTCCTTTTGCTGCAGCCCAAAGCAGTACACAAGCATTACCATTAGTGATTGATGATGATCATAATGATGAATCAGCATCTGAGACTTGCAATGAGGGATCTGACACATCAAATGATTTCAGAGAGGGACATGAACTGAGGAGGGGGTTAAGACAAAGGAGAACTCCAAAATGGCAGGCAGACTATATTTGTGATCCTTCAGCCTTCATGGCAAAGGTGTCTTTGGAGAAGGAACCCAATCACTTCACACAAGCAAGTAAGCATTCTGCTTGGGTAGAAGCAATGGAAAAGGAACTAGATGCACTGGAAAACAACCACACTTGGGAACTAACCACATTGCCAGTGGGGAAGAAAGCCATAGGCTCAAAATGGGTCTATAAAATAAAAAGGAAACCAGATGGATCAGTAGAGAGATACAAAGCAAGGTTGGTTGCAAAGGGGTACAATCAAGTTGAAGGAATTGATTTCTTTGATGTATTCTCTCCAGTTGCTAAACTGGTGACTGTGAGAATGTTTGTTGCCATGGCAGTTGAACATGAATGGAGTTTACATCAACTAGATGTAAACAATGCCTTTTTGCATGGATATTTGTCAGAAGAGGTCTATATGAAGCCACCACAAGGTTATAATAAAGCTAAAGAAGGAGAGGTTTGTAAACTCATCAGAAGCTTATATGGTTTAAAACAAGCTTCTAGGGAATGGAACTTGGAGTTGTGTCAGAAATTAGCTTCCTTTGGTCTGATACAGTCTACCTTTGATCATTGTCTTTTTACCTTACAAAGAGGATCAGATTTTCTGGCTATTTTAGTCTAATGTGGATGATATCTTACTCACAGGGTCCAATGAGGAGTTGATTATAGAGTTAAAGGATTTTCTAGACAAGGCATTCACAATCAAAGACTTGGGCTTGGCCAAATATTTTCTGGGAGTTGAGCTGGTTCGAGATGAGAAGGGACTGTTTTTGGGACAAAGAAAGTATATTATGGATTTGTTGGGTGATATGGGGATGTTGGGATGCAAAGGTGCAGTAACACCTTTGCCACATGGCCTTTCTTTGAGGGAAACAGAAGGAGAAGTTTTGGCTCACCCTGATCAATATAGGAGATTGATAGGCCGGCTGTTGTACCTAAATATGACACGGCCTGATGTCACATATGCAGTACAACAGCTTAGTCAATTTGTGGCTTCACCATACAGTGTGCACTGGGATGCAGCACTTCATGTGCTCAGATATTTGCATGATCATGTTAATTTGGGTTTACAGTTTACAAAAGGGGGTTCTTCTCGACTTATAGCATATTGTGATGCTGATTGGGCAGCATGCAAGGATACAAGAAGGTCAATTACAGGTTATTGCATATTTTTGGGTGGCTGCTTGGTTTCATGGAAGAGCAAGAAGCAAATCACTGTGTCTAAATCCTCAGCAGAGGCTGAGTACAGGGCTTTGAGCTCCACTGTTTCTGAGCTTCTGTGGATCTCTTACATTGCCAAGGATCTTCATCTTGAGTTGCATTTTCCTATACCATTGTGGTGTGATAACAGGGCAGCCATTCATATCAGTGCTAACCCGGTTTTTCATGAGAGGACTAAGCACTTAGACATTGATTGCCACTTTGTGAGAGACAAGTTTAAAGCCGGGTTTGTGGTTCCTCAGCACATCTCTACTCATCACCAACTTGCAGACCTTTTTACTAAGCTACTTGGTGGATCGCATTTCAGAAGTCTCATTGGCAAGTTGGGCATGGTTACTCATCTCCCTTGCTCCACTTGAGGAGGGGGTGTTGGAATGTGCATGAGTCTTTGTTGCATTTCCTTTTTCTGTTCTTATGTTTTTTGGTTTAATATTGTAGGGCTGCTGCGTTTTTTATTTTCTTTTGCTTTAGTTTACACGACGTCGTTCAGACTTATCCTACACGACGTCGTTTTTCCTTTCTTGCATGTGTAAGTGTATATATGGGGCTTGTAAGACTTTTCTGTTTTTTTGACATATATGAAAATGGCGAGATTTTTCCTCCCAAATTCTGAGCGATTCAACAGAGTGTAATACACGGGGGTGTTGTACTAGTGTTTTCTTTATTTTTGTCCTGAGTATGGTGTTTACTTTTTGATGAACAATGAAT